TATACATTTGAAGCGCACCATTAACCGCCAGAGGCAAAAAGTAAACAAAGATCAACCCAAGATACGCAATTTATCAAGGCTTCTTCGTGCTGAACTGAAAGAATCAAAAACAAAGTATTACGAAGAAATATTACCGACATTTATGAAATCTTGCCCCCATCGTTCTGGCGTTACTTTTCTCAGAAGGAAGACCACTCAAGACGCGTGCATTTTCTTGTTGTGAATGATGAATTGGTGACCGACATCTCTTCCATCGCTTACCTACACAACAGATTTTTCCAGTCAGTGTTTACTGCTTGTCCTGATAATGGTGATGCATCCACGCCACTTCCTTCTCTGTTGTCAGTTAAGCCTCACGTTCAGATAACTTATGAAGGCAACGTATGATTATTACTGAACATGAACGTGAAAAAGTCGATCAGACCAGATGGCATACCAAATGATTTCCTGCAAAGGTACGCGGAATGGGTTGCGCACTATTTATACATAATATATAATAGCTCAATAGAGCAAAAGCGTGTCCCAGACGACTGGCTTGTGGCGAAGGTCGTGCCAACGCATAAGGGTGGGGACCAAAAAAAGGTGGAAAATTACCATTCAATTTCCCTCACCTGTGTATGCTGCAAGCTTTTGGAGCATATTATATCCAAAGCTGCGTATACGTATCTTGAAGGCACAAAAACATTTTATCCTAATCAGCATGGTTTTCGACAGAATTTATCCACTGTAACCCAATTAATAGAAACAGCCGACGACTTCACGCATGCCTTAAATAATAGCGTTCAGATTGACGCAATATGTCTCAACTTCTCCAAAGCCTTTGACAAGGTTCCTCCCAGAGAGTTAATTAATAAGTTAGCACACCTAGGCATTAATTATAACGTATTACAGGGGATAAGTGCATACCTGACTGGCAGAACACAATATATAGAAATAAACGGATTTAAATCCAAGTCATTAAGCGTTACCCCAGGGGTACCGCAAGGTTCAGTTTTAGGACCGATATTATTCTTGACTTACATAAACGACATTTATGCAGCATAGACAGAAGTACTACAGTGCGACTTTTTGCAGACGACCGCCTAATTAATAAAGAAATACACAGTGAAGCTGACCAAAAAACGTTTAATGATATTCTTGATGCTGTCAGTAATTGGTGCACTGAATCTACTATGGAAATAAATCAAACTAAAACAGTTGCTTTGCGTGCCACAAACAAAGGTAAGCGTGTTTCTATTCCAATTACACTCTATGTTCTACCCGCCTGTCTACCATCAATGAAATAAAATATTTAGGTGTAACAATATCCAGTGATCTAAATTGGAGGACCAATTTGGAAAACATTTGTGCGGTGGTGGAGAGAAAACTATGGTACTTGCAAAGAAAATTAAGAATTGCTACGACTCCCGTTAAGCTAGCAGCATATCTTACGTATATTCGGCGAACATTGAAATATGCCAGAATTGTGTGGGATTCCTCGGAAATGGGCCTTATTAATATGCTAGAAAGAGTACAAAGGCAAGCTGCCAGGTTTATTCATTCAAAGTACTCCTCGACTGAGTCAGTAACGTAAATTCTACGCACTCTTCAACTGCCCACTTTAGTCGACCGACGGCAATTGGCAAGGATGAAGTTCTTGTTTTTATTGTCAAAAAATAAATTAAACATAAACACAATAAAATACTTAACACCACGCCGCGGAAGAAACCTAAGAACCCTATTGGAAAAATTGCCATGGTGGATACTGGAAAACATGGTGGGCGTAGTGGAAATAATAGTGGGCATGGTGGAAATAATAGTGGGCATGGTGGAAAATATGATGGCTATGGTGGGACGTAGTGGAAAATATGGTGGTTATGCCGGGACATACTGGGTGGTATGGCGTACAGATGATGGGTAAAGTGGAAATGATGGTGGAAAGCAGAGGCTAGATAGTGGGCAATAATGGGACACTCTGCCCACCATTGCGATAATGCTGGGAAGCCCTAAGCATATGGTGGGTGGTGCTTATTATGGTGGGCTACATGGTGTACCAAGCTGAGAAACTCTTCCCACCATTGCGATAATGCTGGGAAGCACTAAGCAGATGATGGGTGCTGCTTGTTATGGTGGGCCACATGGTGTACCAAGCTAAGAAGCTCTGCCCACCATCGCGATAATGCTGGGAAGCAGTAAGCAGATGATGGGTGGGCTTATGATGGCGGGCAAATTATATAGTGTACCAAGCTGGGATCTCTACACTACATGTTCTACCATCATGATTTCCACCAAAGGTTAGGCCTACTGACCGAGCCCGTACAATTGTGTTATCCATGCTTCCGGGTTTCAGAATACACGATTACGACGATTAAGTATCACAATACAGCGCAGCCATATGGCATCAATTAACCTAAATGAAGCATTTTTCATTGTGTATGGTACGTGTTCGCTCAACAAGCAACAAACATCGATGTGACGCGATTAAAGCACTCCCAGAGAACGTAATTAAGTGTCTTCTCACCGACAGCCGCCAATCGCACTCGCCGGCACTTCTCTAGCTTTTGTACGAGAACTCAGACGTGGCAATTCGTGTGCTTGGTGAATCATTATGATAGCGTAATGTTTCCGGTACACTGCATTCGTTTTGGGCAAGCCGTTATGTAGTTGTTGCTTTAGCGAAAGAGCTACAGCATTGCGCTGGCGTGACCGCCCTCTACATTGCGCGAAAAGCATCCCAATACTCAATCAAATAAATTAGGTGGGCGTATCTATGAAATGAGCCTAGAAGGGTCATAAAGCGTGAGCAGATGTCGCCCTTTAGAACGAGCGCGAAACGGACATTAAACTTGGCAGACCCCGCCGGTAAACTGTTGCTGCTCCCCAGTCCACTTGGATTTTTTTCCTTGAAGTTGTGAATTGTAAAAAAAAATAGCACTAGTGCCAATAACATAGTGGCAATCGTTACAGGCCGCAGTTGCTTGTGTTTAATAAATGTGCAATTTTTAGTAGCAGGTGTAGATCTTGTCTATGTTGTGTACACGACAAACATAACTTAAGTTGAACCTTAAGTTTGTATGCTAACTAAGTATTTAACACGCAATCACCGTCATGTTGGTGTGGCGCAGTGGTTAGCGTCTTCAAATAGGAATCCGCAGGTTGCACGTTCGATCCTCCGTGGCACCTCGTTTTTTTTTTACGGGACGGGTGTTTTTTTTTATACCGCTTTTATAGAATTCCTTTTTATTTTTTCTGGCAGCTCGTCACGGTGATTCTGACGTCATTTCGTGCTCAAGTGTTGCCGGCACTGCAGCACCCACCATACCCACCATGCGCCATGGTGGGTGTTTCCCACCATTCACCCACTACATTAATCCACTATAATGGTGGGTGGTGGTTTCCACCATGCCCACCATTCGTTTTTTTTCCGATAGGGAAGTGTAAACGATTACAGATACGAAGTGCCACAACAGCGTGTCAATGTATATGCGAATTCATTTTTTCCAACAACAATTTGGCAGTGGAATCCTTCGCCATTACCACGGGTTCATTGTGATTCACGGGAAAAAATTTGAGGAAGAGCTCAAAGATATTTTTCTGTAAGCCTGGTCTACAATGTTAATTTATTGCAATTTATTTGTATGCTTACTACGACTGCACTGTTTTTCCTTCAGCCTCAATGCCAGTGTTTCCATTGTATGTGATGTAACATTTACAAGTTCAAGTGTTGCTGTTTAATTTGCTGTATGATTTGAATGTATTGATGTTTGCCATTCTTAGTATGTCCCACCCCTGTAACAGCCGAAATGCTAACAGAATTTGGAAAATAAATAAATAAATTCGATATCAGAAACAAAATTACCATATCTAAGTGTGAGAGTAACCGAAACAATATCAGTAATATGAAACTCGATAATCTTGAAATACTGGTTTCACTTGTTTCTATATGCTTAGGCAAACCAATTTTACGAAATAACTGTCACATGGTTGTGTTTGTGTATACTTTCATGATGACCAACTCTAAGGAGAACTCTTACTTACTTTGAAAAAGCGACCAGGTGCTACTAATACATCTTATACACAAAAGAAGTATAATTCATCCTTAAAGGGACACTAAAGTCTAATAACAATTAAGGTGAGAGGAAAGCTCACTGTATGACAACATCTAAAATTACAATATACGCCGGATGCCTTCACCTGCAGTATCACAGGAAGTAAGATTGCTTGTGTTAGTCAACAGTCCATTTGTTATCCGATTCTAAGGTTGCTTCTTCAAGAAAAACTTGAATGTGGTGTTTCTTTTATGTTTGTTGTTCTCTCATTTTGAGAGTATGTACAGTTTAGATCTCTTCTTAGTTTGTTTTGCGATCATGTGGGTGATCTTGGACTTATGGGAGGGCATTGTTTTCCAAGTCAAACTTTGCGTGTCTACATACCACGTGCTTCCCAAGTGTTCTTTCCCTGTAGCACATTGCCATAATACGTATTGCAAGCTGGAGAATTCTGTGTTACTGAGAAGACTCAGCAGTTTTGACGAAATTATTCTGCTAGAAAGCGAAATTACGTGACCTCTTTGATTGTAGGGCCAAACACATGAGTAGGCTTCACAAGTGCCGTTGGGAATAGCGACAGGAGTGTTCGGGCAAAGTTCATGGCGCTCATACGACACGCTTTAGGTCCTTCAGCTTTATTTTCGTGTATTTTGTACAACGTTACAATCAAAATTGTGGTTAGAGTCATGCATTTTTTTTATGGATGCCAATGCACATACTATCAACCAGAGATTTCTCTACTGGAAAAGCGCAATGCTTATTCAAATAGAAACGGTGAACATTATAAGACTTGTGTTTTTCTTGAATGTTTGCACGGGATAAGTATAGCACTGAAGTGTATTGAAATACTTCGTAAGAAATCAGCATTAGCATGAATGTAGCTGTGTTGACTCACCAGGCATCACTATATCTGATTCCTATGTCCTGAGAAAAGGTTCTGGCAGTAGCATTCAACTCTGTTCTCATTGCTGCTTTGCACAATATTCCAGATGTGTTCATCGTAGTCAAGTTTAGGTAAATGACACCAGTATTCATGAACTGAAGAAAACTACAAGACAACAATAAATCTATTTCTTAGCGATATCATCAATGCATGGGGAAAAGGCATCTACGCATACAATATCGACTAAATGGTTTGTTTTATCTTTGGGCAAGTTGTCACTTCAAATTTCGACAGCTTTGATGACCGTTAGAGCCTGCTAAAATGCACTCACTCAAATAAAATCCGACAAATCAGCCTTTTCTAAGAGATATACTCAATCCTAGAAACTCTGCATTCTATTTTGGTGACGTGACTTTTCTTAATCCATAATTAACTTTACACCCTTAAAAGGGATTCGTCATGTCTAAAACAAACACCCTTATGCCATTTTAAACTGGCGTTTTACGTATGAAAACACACGGAACATATGGTATTTCCAGTGGCCAAAACGCCCTTTTAAATAAAAAAATGAGAGTGAATATATCCACTAGTTAGGAATAGTAAAGTAATCGTTTTCATTTCAATTATAACCTTGCTATGAAATGCTATATTTGTGCGCGAAGTAGTTTATAGGAAAGTGGTGCAAGCAGGAAAAAAAAAGCGGTGCGCTAGGCAAGACATCCTACTGTTGCAGAATGAAACGCAAAGAAAGCAATTGTTCATAAAAGCGTAGAAGCACTCTAGGCGTTTTGCTGTTGTCTTCTTTATTCTTGCTAAATTGTCTTTGACACACAGACTTCGACTTGAGCAGATAGGTTGCAACGAAGCTTATAACCTGGGCGCATCCTAAACATGCCACCTGCCAGCCTGGGTGGGTTCGAAAAGCCAGGTGGCTCGAGCGCGCAAGTGCACCTCATCATTTTAGTGGATCCTGTGTACTCGCAAAGCATGCCGTCTGGCTTTATTACCATACACAAGTTGACAAAGATGGCCGCAATTCTCTATTTTGTGTAGTTATCCTCTAAATTTACAGACAACTCATATATTTTCCCTAGTATGCTATGTATGGCAGCAGTTTCATAAGCAAAATATATGAAAATTAAAGTGAGAGGGCTTGACTGCAACGCATGCAACACGGAGTTTACGCTTACAGGAAGCAGTTCGGTGCTGATAATAATCTATGCAGATGGTGAAAGATCATGCCAAGCTTTTCAGTATAGCTTCATATGTCTTTTCACTGGTGATTCATGGGAAACCACCGCTTACTACTGGTTACTCACTTCTTCGCAAGGAAGGCTTAGTTGAACCAAATGTGTGCAGTAACAGCGTGGACACTTTCGCATTGTTTTTTGATTTTTCGAAGTTCTGGTTTCTGCCACAACACGGCACTGCGTATTTAAAGACCTACACATTATATAAGACGTGTTGAGCCTTTATAACACAAGCATAGTGCCATTAGAGTTCATTGGATAAATAGTAGAAGGAGCACATAAACCCGAAAATGAAGGTCATACTTGTTCCACCTCGAAGCAGCCATATGCAATGGAATGTGACAATTTTGGATGCATATTTCGACGCGCGCTTACGGTGAATACGCCCACAGCTTTTGCATCTGCATTTCTTGACTTTCATTAAGAAATCACATTGCACCTAACACCTTCCTGCCAAACTTGGTGTATTTCAGATACAGTTGAATTTTTAGGTGCCACTACAAATAGGTGCCTTAAAACACGCTCCAATTGCAAGCCTTTCGTTGTGGCATTCAGTACGAACTTGGTGACCTGTTCCTCAGCAGTGTCCACCACTTTAGTAACATTAGCACAATTTTTTCACGTTATTAGGCATAATTTGGCCAGTTCGTTTTCATGTCTTACCTTCCATGGGCCTGTCTTCTTCTGTGGAGTACTTGTTTTCTGCAAAACAAAGAAATATTTCAGCTCTACGGCGATCCGCTAAACTTCTGAAAAGTGATTTGTTCGAAAAACAATCCACTGGCCAACCTAGGCCGTTTCGCTAGCTTCACATATGCCAAACTTGGTATCACGTGATGCCATGAAGGACGAAGATATGGACTTGAGCGAACATGATCATGAGATGTGTGTCATGTGAGAACATGACTGCATGCCACAGTGAAGGCGCCAATACATTTCGACGCGACGCGGTGCGCGCACTCGCCGGCGTACATTTCGTCCTTTCACGCCAGCGTTGCCACGCCAGGCGCCGGTCCTGCCTTATAATCAGAGGTACCCGCCGCGCTGCGTTGCTTTGACGCATGCGTGTTTTGAGCGCGTCCGGCGTCCCTCCGTCACGAAAAGAGGGAGACGCAGTGCTGTCTGGATAACGCCTAAGCGCAAAATGCAGCATGTTGCATTTCGCGCCGGTTACCGTCGAGCCGCGCCGACGGACGCTGGTCGCGACTGGCGTTACACTATACAGTGCATGCTCACGTTTTGCTAACATAGCGTCGCTGGGCTCAGCGTGCGCGCGCGTCAACGATACATTGCATTGTATGGGCCCTTCATTATGTGCTCGCGGCCGCCTTGCTAGCTCCACATATACCAAATTTTGTGTTACGTGACATCAATGGATGACGAGATATATGACTGGTGAAGACATGATAATCCTGACGCGCGTCTCACGTAAGAACACGAGAACATACCCCGCTCATAGCGTGCTCACGGCCATTTCACTAGCTTCACATATCCTAAATTTGGTATCACGTGACATGAATGGTTGACCAAGTTAAACAACATATTCAAACATGATAATCATGACACAGAAGTCATGTACGGCCTCATTTACTTCCAACTCGTAACGTTGTGCTAATCCACCTCGTAATGCTGGGCTGACATTTCTCATTCGTGCTACGCATATGATCAATTCCCACTGTACGTGAGACCTGGCAATTTTTTTTAGCGGAACATGACTGAATGGCGTAACGTTATTCTACTTCAAGCGCCAAGAGTGTCCAAAGGCTAAACGGCGTGCTCAGGGCCATATGAGTTATCGGTAGTATTTGACGGGTTAATTGAGCTCCTAGGCCGCGCCTGAGGCTGAGTGACAACGATCGAGCAGCAATTCTATCAAGCCTGGCTGGCGTGCAATGGCTTCACTTGCTTTTCTTAGCTTCCTTCGTGCAACGCCTTCGTGTGAATTCTTCTTCTTCTGTGGTGTGCCTCTTCGGGGGGTTTGTCGTGAAGTTTTGAGGGCGAATCTGATTATTTGAACCTACGATCATCACCAATAAGTAACACGCACGCAGTGTTCATATGCCTTACTAGCCTGCGTGGCCCAAGCGTTCGTCTGCAGCTGCCTTGCCGTTGTTCGATCAGGCATCGCTTTCAGAATCACTGCTCACTAGAGGATCAAACCGAAATTGATTCGTCGTGCCGCGAACCACCGCGATTGTATATTCTTCAGTGTCAACATCGTCCCTTGTGTATGCTGACGATGGTGGCGGCGATGACGGGGATGGCGAAGCCTATCACACCGAATATAAGCAAAAATTCACGTCCTCAATTTGTGTGGGTACGTGAAGAAATGCGGTGTGACCGCGGAACGTGGCCACTTGCAGCGCTAGAAATTTTCGGGCTTTGAATGCCTCTTGAATTGAGTTTGATGCTGATAGTACTAATTCAAATTACAGATATCATCTCGTCTCTCTGTTGCATTGACACTACCGAATCTTTACTAGGGGATCAATAACTACACGTTGATGCAAAAAACGCGATACGCATAATGTTTGTGTGACTGCTCCTTTAAATGCACACTTAAGTTAGCTAAACCCTTAAGCCTACTCAATATAAATAACAACTCCAACATATATCAGGTTCATTAAGCTTACCGGTTGTTCAGCTGAGACACAAAGAGGCACGACTGCGGCAATTGAAATGATTAACCATGGGTGAACGTCGTAGGGAGCCATTATGGCCACGGCACAATAATCGTTCCAGAAATTTTGTATCTTACAGAGTTGTAAACCCTGTTAGCGAAACTCTTTATATCCGCTGCAATACAGTGTTGACGTCAGAAAGCTGAAGTTCATTTGGAAGTTAAACGAAGGACACACAAAGCACTCGTTAAAGATTTATCGAAGAGAAAGCTTTGTCAACATTAAAACACGTGCTCAGGACGACTTCATTGCTACTCTGCCCTTTGTCTACTACAAGGCGGTAGCCATCCTGGTTGAATTTTTTCATCAGTGTCATTTACATTTTTAACTTTTTCTCATCGGCTCTCACCACCTTCACATCAGATGACAATGCCCCCGCTTACCCCACAACCTTCATATGTACGAATCAGCCTTGAATATTTTACTTGACGTGTTGTTATTAATTTTTAAACACCATGATATCACGTATAGCGCGCAATACGACGGGGAGAGCGGGCACCCGTGGCCTTGCAATGAGAAGACTGAAATGCTTCACTTCGCTTTTTTTTCACAACTATGCGTTTAAAGTTACTGCTTGAAATAGTTTGAAGCCTATGAATATCAGTATAGCTATCTTTCTTTTTCTACTTTGAGAATTGACGCTGTCGTTTTAAGCAAGAACAAGACAATATAATTGTATAAATATAGTTATAACAAAAGTTCGCAGCTTTGCCTGAAAGGAAAAGCAATGAACGTGATAGCGACAACTTGGAAGGTCCCTTGCAGAAAGGCAAGCAGATCAAAACGTCTTCCGCGTTTCGCACGCAGAAATGATGCACGAAACGTACTCACAGGTACACATGAACGTGAATAGGCGTCTCAGTTCTTACGTTGCTGTTTCTGAAAAGCGCGCGTTTTTTGCAAATGGAGGCTGTGCAACGATTGCAGTGATCTTTGTGCGCCTCGTAACTACAACATCCATCGTTCCAGTACATGCCTAACGCCAGCCAATATCCTCCCAACCGGGAGATAACGGTTCGTGAGAGATCGTCCAATCCCCTCTTCTCCGCAGGCCAAAGTACGCGTGAGAGATGACAGCCGCCGCACGCTCATTGCGCCATATTGCTGATAATACTGTAAACACGATAGTACCCCCCCTCCCCGAGATGCCCACCATATGGCAGATATGATTAGGTTGCCGTTTCAACGGTGACGGAGGTACCCTTCAGTGGCTCAAGGATTAACACCTCGCAATCCCGACGCCGAGGTCCCAAGTTCGAGTGCACACGCCAGAGTCTTTCTTCTGGATTTTTTCTTTGTTGCGTTTTAATATAAATAGGTACGTATACATATACTGTGCATGACATCGACGCCAACACACACGTCAACACCAACATGGGCGGCGAAATTCAGTCGAGAATGTTCATATAATTGCTATCACAATAAAACATCACCGAAAGCTAAGAGCACACCGGAATGCCGCGAGCGACTCGAAAGTACATAGAAATCGGTCGATCTTGCGTTCCCATGCTTGATAACATCAAAATAATTTCTGAATAACGGTCTGTATTTGCTTTGCGAAGATTTTCATGTAAATTTGAATTGGTCGGCAAACCCTGCAGAAAGGCTTCGAATGCTGCGAAGATTCAATTTGTTGGTTTCACTCATGGAACACTCATTTGAGCATTCGTGACATGCGCGTTAGATGATAGTATGCGTTCGAGTGTTAGAGAAGTCACGCAGTTTAGTTACGTATAGACCTACTGGAAGGCCAAGAAACGCCAGAAGAGCGAGGAACGTCAACAGGCCGAAAATACAAAACAAGCGCAAGCTCGGGTCACGCGTGTGCACCAACGCTGTGGCTTGCCGTTTCTTGCTGCTTCGTCGTCGTTCGCATAGTTCTTTACATTGACCCCCGGTAAATAGCGTGGCCAACCTGGCGACTTAAGGCGTAGTCACTATAGCGGGGTCGTAATACGGCCTCAGGCGACTCACATGCACAATTTCTCGGCCACGAAGGCGTAAGTCGTGAGACTGTGTGAAAGGCTTGATCTCATAATTGACTGGTGACGTACGGGCGAGAATGCGGTAGGGCTCGTGGTATCGTGCCAGTAAATTCGAGGAAAGGCCAGGAGTACTCGGTGGGATTCAGAGCCAAACGAGAGCACCAGTCGTGAAAGTAGAGAGATGTCGGTTGGCGTCATGCCATAGCTTCTGGTGGCCTTGGTCCTCGGTTGTCAGTGAACGGGCCAATCGTCTTCAATCTTCTGCGTACCTGGCAACACCAGAAATTGCAGAAATTGCGGGCGTGTATGGGAGGATAGTGTCCAGCGTGTACGATGGTTCGTGTCCCTACAACAGAAAGGAGAAAACCCTGTTGTCGCGTGCGTAGCGGTGGTATACGCATACGTGACGAGTGGAAGGACAGTGTCCCAATTGGTCTGGTCTGCAGCTGTGTACATCGTCAACATATCACCAAGAGTGCGATTAAATCGTTCTGTGAGGCCATTGTCTGTGGGTGATATGCTGTCGTCATGCGATGAACCATGCTGCACTTAGCGAGCAAGGCTTCAATGGTGTCAGACAAGAAAACACGTCACCAGTCGCTCAAAAGTTCGCGGGGAGCACCATGGCGAAGCAGGAAGTTGCGCAAGATGAAAAACGCAACTTCCTTCGCGGTTGCTGTGGGTAGTGCTGCCGTCTCCGCGTAACGCGTGAGGTGGTCCGCACCGACAATTATCCACCTATTTCCAGAAGACGACGTGGGAAGTGGTCCGTATAAGTCGATACCGACGCGGTCAAGTGGACGCGCTGGACAAGGCAGAGGCTGAAGTGTACTGGCAGGGCGTTGAGGTGGTGCTTTACGTCGCTGGTATGAAGTACAAGCACGTACGTACTTGCGAACAAATGTATACATGCCGCGCCAGTATTACCGCTGACGTAGACGGTTGTACGTTTTGAAAGCGCCGGCCTGAGTGCTTTGCGGGTCGTTATGGAAAGATGTACAGATCTCCGAGCGCATGTGTTTGGGTATCACTAACAGCCACCTCCGACCTTCAGACGTGTAATTCCACCGATAGAGGAGGTCTTCTCGAATAGCGAAATGTGTGGCTTGACGGCGGATAGTTCTTGATACCAAATTAGCTGACGGATTAGTCAGAAAGGCAAGGAGTTAGGAAATCCACGCATCTTTGCGTTGTTCCGATGCCAAGTCTGTGAAGTTGAATGGTGTTAATGCAGCTGAAGAAGGTGACGAGGAGGTTGGGTCAGCCGGTAGCGGTGAGCGGAATAGCGCATTAGCGTCGGAGTGCTTGTGGCCGAATTGGTATACAACACGAATGTCGTAATTCTGTACGCGAAGCGCCCAATGACCAAGGCGCCCGACGGGTCTTTGAGCGATGGTAGCCAGCATAGAGTGTGGTGGTCCGTAACGACGTCGAAAGGGCGGCCATAAAGGTATGGGCGGAACTTCGTCAAAGCCCAGACAATTGCGAGGCACTCTTTCTCCGTGATAAAATAATTACACTCGGCTTTGTTGAGGGTTCGATTCGCGTAAGCGACCACGTATTCTTGGTATCCTGGTTTTCGTTGAGCCAATACAGCACCAAGACAGACACCACTGGCTTCGGTGTGGACCTCCGTAGGCGCATCGGGGTCAAAACGACGTAGTATTGGAGGTGATATTAATAACCGACGAAGCGCGGTGAAAGATTCGTCGCACTCTTTTGACCAGCAGAAATGCCTTTGGAAGTTGTCAGCAGGTGCGGAGTTTTGCCGGATCCGGGAGAACACCCTTTTTGCTGACGGCGTGACCCATTATAGTGAGCTGACGTGCGGCAAAATGACACTTCTTGATGTTAAGTTGAAGGCCAGCAGAGGTGAGACACGTGAGAATAGCACGAAGACGAACAAGGTGAGTCGAAAAGTCGCGAGAAAAAACGACGATGTCGTCTAGGTAGCAGAGGCACATGTTCCACTTGTAGCCGGGAAGGTTGGTGTCCATCATCCGTTCGAAGGTAGCTGGGGCATTGCAGAGTCCAAACGGCATGACGTTAAACTCATACAACTCATCAGATGTTACAATTTCAGTCTTTGATCGGTCAGGATCAGCCAGTGGAACTTGCCAATATCCTGAGCGTAAATCTAGAGAGGAGATATATTCGGCTCCTTGCAAGCAATCGAGAGCATCGTCGATGCGTGGCAATGGGTACACATCCTTTCGAGGTGTCTTATTGAGCCGGCAGTATTCAACACAGAATCGGATAGACCCATCCTTTTTGCGCACAAGTACAGCAGGGGACCACCAAGGGCTCTGCGATGGCTAGATGACACCACGCTTGAGAATATCGTCGACTTTTTCGTTGATAATACGGCGCCTTTGCACTGAAACTCGGTATAGTCGTTGGCATAAGGGAACATGAGTACCGGTGTCAATGTGGTGCGTGATGTTTGCAGTGTGACCGAAAGATGGTTGAGCGCAATCGAACACAGAACGGAACTCTCGAAGAAGGGACAAGAGTTCACGTCTTTGTGTCGGCGATAGCTCAGCGGCAACAGAGGGCTCGAATGAGTTTGGCGCGGGCAGTGTGGCCACAGGTGGCGTCATAGAATTGAGCTGGAGCGGAGGCTGGAGCGGAGGCTGGAGCGGAGCTGGAGCGGAGGTGGGACCAGAGGGCGCAAAAGGTCAACGTATTCTATGTTACCCAAAGATTATCCGCGAAGTAAGGTAGCGCGCCAGCTGTCACTGCTGCCACTGACACATGAGCCCGCGCAAGCTTTCGCACCGGACCTCCAACACGCCATTCGAACCCAAGTCGCTGAGGCCCTTCCACCGATGCATGAGCAACCACCTGTCACTACGCCTCTCACGTACGCCGCCGTACGTACGAAAGAGACAATGCTGTTCTAGCACACCCCAAAAATGGCTTTTTAAGGACTCCATCCCTATAATAAAATACAGTGACTACTCAAGATTGTGAGGAATGAGGTAAAGGTGGGTTTCATAAATTTCGACCGCGTGGTGTTCTTTACAATGAGCTTTTTGTATTC